GTGGGGGGGTTGCTTTATAATATATAATATATTTGGTATGGAGTGCATTTCCAGTACAAGTACAAAGTATAACAATACTTGGAATGGAAAATTAAAGTATCAGCATTGCCAGAGTATTGATGAAATTGGAAGTAAAAGTATAGGTGTCGTATTTAAAACAAAAAGTGTGGTATCTCCCATCCAGACTAAACAGACCCAGATTTCACATTGATTCAGTAATTTGTGAATAAATTAATGCAGGAGCATCATTATTTCTGCACTGATTTTTTTGTTTGGGGGTGTTCTGTGAGATTTGTATAATGTAAAACATTCTCCTTAGCTCAATTAAGGTTAGGAACCACTGGTGAAGTCCTTTAATGTGTCTACGAAGTACAACACATCTACAAAGATAATGTAAAAGTGGCAATTAAAGAAAAAAAAAACTCACACTCAGAAGCAGGCACTTGTTCTCTTTGATGGCACCCAGGCAACCAAGAAAGCCTGTTACCATGACAGTGGCGCCGATGGCGATAACCATGTTGGCAGCTGACAGGGAGGGGAACGAGGGTGAGAAGGTTGCAAAGCTGCCCTGAGACACGGAGAGCCAGATGCCCACACCCAGCAGCCCACAGCCACATAACTGCAAGACAAAAGTAGACAAGGTGAGAAAACAAACATCATTTCAAGGTCCCTTCCAGCGCTTCCATGACTTGTTCTTTTCAAACAGTGGCAGTGCATTCATTCTGCAGAGAATGGTCAGCTGTGAAGACAACTCAGACAGCACAAACAACTCACTTTGTCTGACACTTTCAGTCACCCATCAATGAACATGATTTAAAATTCAGAGGAGCTGACCATAATTACTTACATAATTACTGCATGCTAAAACAAATAAAAACCGCAAGAGATTAGAGCTAAACACTGCACATAAACTATGCCAATTGTATATGTTTGAACTGAGCGCATTAAAACCAAGCGCAAACAAACATGTAATTACAGTACCACATCCCTGCGTAAATACTGTAGCTGTTCTAAAACATCCCCACATTACATGCAGCTGATTTAAAGTCCACTTCGGGGGAGCACTTCCCTAATCCCACTGTGTTAATATGGCAGGGCCCACAGCACTTGTCATGTCTGCTGTCGAAAAGATTTAAGAGACGGCTTTTGATTGACGGAGTAGAGTGTCCCGCCCACCTCCCCCTGATGTAGTGGCCTCATCTATCACACAAAAGTAGGCACAGACGTACCCACCGCACTATGAAATATAGTGCCGGAGTAAAGTGGTGGCATATTTTTGTCTTCGCCAAATAGAATGAAATACCTCGGGCCACCTCAAAATGAATAAAACAAAGATCTCAAATGAGGTAAAATATGAGAAGGTGCCACAGTAAATCATCACGTCACTACCTTTCTGTGATCTCGTTTCACGCCCCCCTTCCATTTTCATCTTTGCAATGCAGCTCCATCGCACTTTAATGCCTGTCAGCAATATAAAAGAAACGATTCTGCTGTGCATTCAAACACTTGCCTCACGTGGAGATGCTAACCAGACTTATTTTTTAGGTACATCTAGGCATACATCAAAGCGCTGTACCTAATATATGCACTGTACCTAATATATATATATATATATAATATATATATATATATATATAAATAAAACATGACGCAGCTTAGAACATTTAATAAAATACATAATTGTCACCAAAGACATGGATTTATGTTTGCAGATGGATGGCTACATACTATGTGTGGTTTGCCAGTCGAACTTGGCTTGCTCTGAACTTGAGCAAGCCTCGAACCGGCTTGCTGAGTCAGAAGAGGATGCTGAAATTGTTATGGGCCAGCTAGCTGGATCTCTGAGATCAATTTGAAATTTGATTTGTCAAAGAAACATTCTATTGCTGTCCCAGTAATTTAGTTTAAGTTACATTGGACAGCCCTACTAATTGTGAAGGGCCTGGGCAGATTAGAATGACATGGCACATGCAGGCTAAAACATGACTGGACCAAAAAAATAAAAAATAAAAACACACACATACACACATTGAAAGCAGTGCATCCCAGGAGAAATGCTATGGAAGGAAGACAATACTGTTGGGAATAAATGAATACAATTTAATGCAACAAATATTCAAATTTAGGTTGTAAATGTAGGTCAGTGCTTCTGATAGGGTTTAGGCCAGCAGAGAAAGCCTTGCTAGGCCTGATGGCTCATCACTGTTATATACTATAGAAACTGTAGAACCCTTGGCTGAGATAGGTGTAAAGTGCTAAGGCGGCTAATTGCTCCATCTTCTGTTATGCTCTGAGGCAGCAATTTTGCAAAAGGCTAAAGTCTCAAGTGAAAAGTAAATGAAACGCTCCCTACTCCTGCTTCTCGACTCAAAATTAAATATCTTGCCTTGGCGACAGCCCAGTGGATATAGCGTTGTTTTGTGATTGTAGCTGATGTTCAGACAAAGCATAAAACACTGCATTTCAAGGATTAATGCTAAAGGTCTGAATGGACTGCCAACAGAATGACTCTTCGATAAAATGAGAATAAAGGTACCTTGAATAAAACTGGATCGTACCAATGGAAAACTCTTTTTGGCTCTCCGTGCATCTGTGTTTAAAAATCTGGTCAAATTCCAGGAAAACGTCATATCCCTATTCTGTACCACTAATAAACCCAATTACATCTGAAAGTCCTCAGGAAGTCAGATTATATAGATGATGAGGGTTTGAGGACGCAAGGGATGAATAGGTCTTTAAAAAGGCCAGAGAGATGGAGTGGATTTACAGCCTACCGAAGGGAGCACAAGGAGCTTTGAGAGTCCAGGTGGGAAGGGATGCGACGCCATTCACTTAATTGTATTTAATACTCAGCGAGGGGAGCTTGTCCAAGGGTGTTGCCCTCTTAAGTGACTGCAAAACAGGCTTGTCCCCACTCCATCTGTCTAATCTTCCTGTCTTTTACTCCAAGTACTACGCTTACTACTACTATTAACCGCAGCACCATCAACAGACCTCTGTGACAACACCACCAGTATAAGTTCTGATCTCGTAGGTTATCTGACCTTGGCGTGTCGGTTTGAGATTCACCTTGAGCCATTCTTCTGAATGTGATTTGTACGACATTATGCAATATGTGAAGTATCGACTTCCTTCCTGAAATACTGTATTTGGGACCTGGTGCTGGATCATCTACTTTTTAAACTAGACTGGGTGCAAACAATTAAAAGTAGAGTGCATTCCTGCTTTCATTTTTGGACTGCACTTCCAAAATAAAGTACCTTGTGTTTTAATGTACTGATGTTCCAGTGTGGTATAGATTTACTCGCACCACCAACTACCTACCACTACTACTGTTACCACTAACAGGCAGGTGGCTAATGTTCAGTATGCAACAGTTTGCTCGAAGACACAGAGGAGGCAGCGCAAGGAGTGTGTTTTGTTAAAAGAGTATATTTTAAGTTGAAAAGAAAACGTCATTCATTTGCGCTCAACTTAACAGATGACAAGTCCAGGGTGTCGTCTGCCTTTGACCAAAGTCAACTGGGTAAGGCTCCAGCTCACCTGTGCCCCTGAACAGGGTAAGGTGTGTGGAATATGTCTTATTTCATTTATTGTGTTTTATTTTTCTTGTGTGATATTTCTGTATAGCACTTTTTTAACATTTGGATTTTTTAAGCTCTTTAGAAATAAAGTTTAGAGCTTTATCTTTTTTGTTTCATCGGTTTTGCAAAGCTTTCAGCTTTGCACCATGTGATATTTTTTTCTCTATCAAGGAAAGTTTTAAAGTTGACTCAGTTGTGTGACCTTTCTGCAAGTGTTTGCCAATATTTTGAATGCCCGAATGGCGCCTAAGATTTAAATGCTCTTTGTCAGAGAGCGAGCCAGGCAGAGAGTGCATAACATACAGTAAGTTGAGGAAATGACAGGGCATGAGCTGTGACTCTTTCCAGTGAGATGAATGGGGTCCTGCTGTTTAGGGGTCTTGTTACAAGCTTGAGGTGACTGTGATAAACTGTGTGTGGCAACTGTTTAGCATATGCATATTGGAGGGAAGGATGGGATCAGGAGGGTCAACAGTGAGGCAGAGAAAGGAGGTTTGGAAAGGATGAACTGTCAGGACAAGTGAGATGTGGAAAGGAGAGAAGGAGGAAAATTGAGGCTGCCTCTACATCCAAGAGGCCAGCAGTGAGAATCATCAGTCCCTGCAGTAAGTAGCTCAGTGTCACAAGCCCTCCCAACACAAGACCCCACTTTTATCTCCCCATTCAGGGGATGAGGTCTGCTGGACATGTGCGTCCATGTGCAACTTAGAGGCCGTTGACCTTTTCCCATCTAGAACAGTCACTCAGGGAGTATGTCGTGTTGAAAGGAGTGACAGCTTTTGTCAAATTACCGTTGTTCTCTAAGGCAGCTGCCACAAGAGGGGAACACTGCTGGGAATGAGTTTTTGAAGTACTGCATGAGTACAGTGTGTATGTGTGCCTACCGTCTCTGGTTTGATATCAATAAACACAGTCCACCTACTACCGAGTCTGTGAAGTGAAAACATGACATGACAAGTATTCGAACTAAGAAGCACTTGCATTGGTCATTAGAAAGCGTTTCGACCACAGGAGGAACAGTGTCAAACCTAAAACAGTGGAAAATGCTGAATGCACCACTGAAGGGAGGCACCACTTGCGGTTTTCTGCAATTACCTTTGCAATGCAGATAATTTTCATGCTTCAAAGCATCTTTAATCGGTCTAGCCAGCATTGATTTTGCACTGAAATGAATACAGCATATATTCACCTCTTCTTGCACACCCGGGATTACCATGAACATACGCATATAGTCATCTGATGCAAACATTAAAAGGAGTGGACATAGAGATGAAAAGCAAAAGACAGGCTGCACGTCTACCCTACTAGAGTAGACCTTTGAGTGTTTTTGTGAAAGAAAATGGGTCAAAGTTTTCTACTTTCTTCCTTTCAAATTTTACTGCTGGAGATTGCGAAGTTCCCCATTGTGAGACAAATAAAGGTTTTCTTATCTTCTCTTCCAATCTCAACAGGGAGAATTTAGGTGTGAACATGCCTACTAAGGTTCTCTAAAGATGTGTTCTTAATCTGCGAGAAGGCTTTTTTGTAAAGATGCAACTACTATCATTGATGGGCAGCTTCACCATCACATACAACACAATGACCTTTATATGCAATCCGTCCATCAATCCGTCCCATCCATCCTCTATAGATCTTATTTTGTTCACGGTCATGGTGACCTAAAGCCTAACTCATTTGACTTATGTCGTAAGGCGGACTCCCTCCTCGACTTTCACCGGTATGCAGGTGGAGACAGACAATTCGCATCGATGGGGAAATCGTTTTACTCACAGGTCTAATAATGAGTATGCAAACACATTTTTGCACGGCATTGTGTTTACCATCATTCCAAACATTCATACATTGTAAAATTCTGAGAGTGAAAAAAAATGCCAGGTATTACATAGTCATGAAGATTCATTGTTTCTGTGGAATATGAAGCGTTTTAAATTAGAATACATTAAATTAGAATACAGTTGTAGCCCGCCCTTCTTAAGGTTCATTTAAACAGAGCATCACAGACACACATCCAACCATATTTTACATACAGTAGTAT